AGGGAAATAAGTATTTGATCCCCTCTCAATCGGAAAGATTTCTGGCTCCCATGTGTCTTTTATACAGGTAACGAGCTGAGATTAGGAGCACACTCTTAAAGGAAGTGCTCCTAATCTCATCGTGTTACCTGTATAAAAGACACCTGTTCACAGAAGAAATCAATCAGATTCTAAATTCTCCACCATGGCCAAGACCAAAGAGCTCTCCAAGGATATCAGGGACAAGATTGTAGACCTACACAAGGCTGGAATGGGCTACAAGACCATCGCCAAGCAGCTTGGTGAAAAGGTGACAACAGTTGGTGCGATTATTCGCAAATGGAAGAAACACAAAAAAACTGTCAATCTCCCTCGGCCTGGGGCTCCATGCAAGATCTCACCTCGTGGAGTTGCAATGATCATGAGAATGGTGAGGAATCAGCCCAGAACTACACGGGAGGACCTTGTCAATGATCTCAAGGCAGCTGGGACCATAGTCACCAAGAAAACAATTGGTAACACACTACGCCGTGAACTACTGAAATCCTGCAGCGCCCGCAAGGTCCCCCTGCTCAAGAAAGCACATATACATGACCGTCTGAAGTTTGCCAATGAACATCTGAATGATTCAGAGGACAACTGGGTGAAAGTGTTGTGGTCAGATGAGAGCAAAATGGAGCTCTTTGGCATCATCTCAACTCGCCGTGTTTGGAGGCGGAGGAATGCTGCCTATGACTCCAAGAATACCATCCCCACCGTCAAACATGGAGGTGGAAACATTATGCTTTGGGGATGTTTTTTTCTGCTAAGGGGACAGGACAACCTCACCGCATCAAAGGGACGATGGACGGGGCCATGTACCGTCAAATCTTGGGTGAGAACCTCCTTCCCCCTCAGCCAGGGCATTGAAAATGGGTCGTGGATGGGTATTCCAGCATGAAAATTACCCAAAACACACGGCCAAGGCAACAAAGGAGTGGCTTAAGAAGAAGCACATTAAGGTCCTGGAGTGGCCTAGCCAGTCTCCAGACCTTCATCCCATAGAAAATCTGTGGATGGAGCTGAAGGTTCGAGTTGCCAAACGTCAGCCTCGAAACCTTAATGACTTGGAGAAGATCTGCAAAGATGAGTGGGACAAAATCCCTCCTGAGATGTGTGCACACCTGGTGGCCAACTACAAGACACGTCTGACCTCTGTGATTGCCAACAAGGGTACTAAGTCATGTTTTGCAAAGGGGTCAAATACTTATTTCCCTCATTAAAATGCAAATCAATTTATAACATTGTTGACATGCGTTTTTCTGGATTTTGTTGTTATTCTGTCTCTCACTGTTCAAATAAACCTACCATTAAAGTTATAGACTGGTCATTTCTTTGTCAGTGGGCAAACGTACAAAATCAGCAGGGGATCAAATACTTATTTTCCCTCACTGTATATACCACGTGTGTATGTGCACTGTGAATCTGTCTATTGTAGTTTACGTATTTACTTGGGAGTATGTGCGTGTGTCAAATAATGGCTGTCGGCTGACTTAGCCCATCATCCATTAGGGGTCGATAAAATATACATCGAGGCGGTGCACCACTGTCGTCTGCAGCGTTCAACCCCCACAAAACGGAACTTCAGCACCCCCCCCCCCCCCACCATGAGCTGAACTTGCAAACTTCCAATCGGTAGCCGCTCGCTCTGCCGCCCCAAGCAGCGACTTGCAAGCGACGAAGGCAACGGGAGAGTTTGCTGCCCCTGGGAGAGTTTGCTGCCCCTGCGAGAGTTTGCTGCCCCTGCGAGAGTTTGCTGCCCCTGCGAGAGTTTGCTGCCCCTGGGAGAGTTTGCTGCCCCTGGGAGAGTTTGCTGCCCCTGCGAGAGTTTGCTGCCCCTGCGAGAGTTTGCTGCTCCTGCGAGAGTTTGCTGCCCCTGCGAGAGTTTGCTGCCCCTGGGAGAGTTTGCTGCCCCTGCGAGAGTTTGCTGCCCCTGCGAGAGTTTGCTGCCCCTGCGAGAGTTTGTTGCCCCTGGGAGAGTTTGCTGCCCCTGGGAGAGTTTGCTGCCCCTGCGAGAGTTTGCTGCCCCTGGGAGAGTTTGCTGCCCCTGGGAGAGTTTGTTGGCCCTGGGAGAGTTTGTTGGCCCTGGGAGAGTTTGCTGCCCCTGCGAGAGTTTGCTGCCCCTGCGAGAGTTTGCTGCCCCTGCGAGAGTTTGCTGCCCCTGCGAGAGTTTGCTGCCCCTGCGAGAGTTTGCTGCCCCTGCGAGAGTTTGCTGCCCCTGGGAGAGTTTGCTGCCCCTGGGAGAGTTTGCTGCCCCTGGGAGAGTTTGCTGCCCCTGCGAGAGTTTGCTGCCCCTGCGAGAGTTTGCTGCCCCTGCGAGAGTTTGCTGCCCCTGGGAGAGTTTGCTGCCCCTGCGAGAGTTTGCTGCCCCTGCGAGAGTTTGCTGCCCCTGGGAGAGTTTGCTGCCCCTGCGAGAGTTTGCTGCCCCTGCGAGTTTGCGGCCCCTGCGAGAGTTTGCTGCCCCTGGGAGAGTTTGCTGCCCCTGCGAGAGTTTGCTGCCCCTGCGAGAAGTTTGCTGCCCCTGGGAGAGTTTGCTGCCCCTGCGAGGAGCCGTGGACCGACCGTGGAGCGAGCAGCGTCCACGAGAGCCCGAACCGCGCGGCATCACAACGCGAGTCTTGCTGTGAAGCTGCAGAATTGGCAGAGCAAGGATGAGTGTCTATTGCTTCTAAGTTGATTTCCTTCAACCAGGTGAGAACTCTTCAAGCGCCCAGGATATAAATATCATTTGCAGGAGTGACCTTAATCACCAAAATGACAAAATATAACGTAAAAACAAGTACAGCAAAACGGTCAATATAAATGAGAGCAGATACAACCAGATGGCAATCAGAGCAGATACGACCGGATATCAATTATAGCAGATACACCCATATATCTATTAGAGCAGATACACCTAGATAGCAATCAGAGCAGATACAAATAGATATAAGTCAGAGTAGAGAGGGTGGGTAGGTCTGTGGGTGAGTAGGTGAGTTGAGTAGGTCTGTGGGTGGGTAGGCGAGTTGAGTGGGTGAGTGGGTGAGTGGGTGGATGGGCGAGTGGGTGAGTTGTTCCAGTGTGGCGATTGAACACATTGTGGCGGATAAGACGAAATTCCAGTCAGTGTCTGGTAGACCAGAGTCCTCAACACGGGTGGAGGTCGAGGGGAGGTCACAGGCGGTCACAGGTCGTAGCAATAGAAGAGTGACGAGGAGGTGCCTGACCGCCGGCGAGCGCGTGGCCAGGGCGAATCGGCGAGTGCTCATGGGCCATCAATTGACCTGGCTGCTTTACTCCGAATTCCCTCGAGTGCAGCAGTGAGGCACAGGGACAGCGGCCGTGAAAGTTCGCCGAGTTCTTCTCTGGATGACGATGAGGAAGGTACAGATGTGACGAGGTGACCAGTATGAAGAGGGGAAGCCTCTGGACCAGATGGAAGAGCCGTGGACATTATCAACGCATCTGGATCAAGTATGGAAATACAATTGTTAATGTTACCAAGCACACATACATTACACAAATAGAGACAGACCACCCGTGTACTGTTCGCACAAGGACTGCGAGCGGCTCGTCGAGGCGGGCACGGCGCACCCACGAGAGGGTGAGGCCGACACGCTGCACCAGGTATTGGTTTAAAGCCCAGTCCACCTCGGGGAAGCCCGTGAGTGCTTCAGATATTCGTCACTGATATTGGCCGTGAGCGAGAGTCGAACTCGCGTCGCCTCGTGGCTCGCAGTGCAGCGCAATGCGAGCCACGAGGCTGTGTCGCGTGCCATGGTTTGTGTCGAGTGTACGAGAGTTGAGCAGTGGCGTAGTGGTTGGCGCACTGTGCTACGAACCCGGCGACCTGAGTTCGATCCCCGCTCACTTTCAACATCAGCGACTACTCGGCCTTAAAATAAGTACCTGCGTATGTAGTGTCAACATCAGCACCGGGGAGACAAAGGCGGCCAGGCGTGGTGCTGGCGGCATTTATCGGTGCACACCAACAGGGGAGAGACGCTGAGAAACGGCCGGAGTCGGAGATGCGGAGGGAGACAGACGGCGAGAGGAGATGGAGGAGACACGGCGGGGGGAGAGAGGGGTGATGGGGGAGACACGGGGGGGAGAGAGACAGAGGGCGAGGGGAGATGCAGGAGACACGGGGAGAGAGGGCGACGCGTGTTGGCACGTGGAGAGGGGGCGGAGAGAGAGGGGGGGGGGGAGAAGCGGGCAGAGCGGGAGACACGGAAAGAGTCTTCGCGTCACGCCTCATTAGCTCTCCGTGATGGTCGCGGCGCTGATGAGGAGCGCTCATTAACGACTTCAATCAGGCGGAGTGGTCACGGAGACTGGCGCGGAGTGGTGGCCGCAGTCGCTGCTGCGTGTTGACGCTTCATCATCAGGGATACAAGTCGCGGCGCGGAGACCCGAGACCCTGGATCCCCATCACCTCCAAAAGAGGAGAGAGCGCCCCCCCCCCGCCCATCTACCCCCACCCCAACTCACCCCACTCACCCCACTCACCTCACCTCACTCACCCCACTCACCCCACTCACCCCAATCCCCACGCTCGCGGACCTCGGGGCAGAGTTCGGTAGCTCATGTCTCCATCTCCACTCCCTCTCGCTCCACTCTCCCATCTCCCATCTTTTCTCCCTGTTATTGCTCTCTGGCCGCTCTCACTTTTCTCTGTTTTCTCTCCCCCATGCCGCCCGCGCTCATGCGGCCCCGTGGCGTGAGGACCCACGGATCTGGGCCGGGGATGGAGGGGGGGGCAATGGGATATGCGGGGGAGGTGGGCGCCGCTGTTTTCTTGAGGACTCGCAACCCAGGGCCCTCCCACCCCCTTCCTCCTCCTCCCTCCCCCATCCTCCCTCTGCCCGGATCAGGTAACAGCGACGATGGGTGGGGAGTGGCGGCGGCGGCGGGGAAGCGAGCGGGGATCCGGGCGGGGGAGGCGGGGGGGGGGCCGGGGGGGGCAGGGGGGGGGAGGAGCGGCCGCGTGGGGGGGTCTCGGCGCTGGCGCGGGAGTCGCCGAGTCGGGGCACGGAGCGCGGCGCGCCGAGTCGCTGCGCTGCACGAAGCGGAGCCAACTCCTCGCTCAGCGCCAGAGCGCGTTTACCATGAGCGGCATTACCACGGCGTGAGGGTGCCACGGGAACACGGCTACCACATCACCACCCGCTGCGAGAAGAGTACCATGGTAATCCCCCACACCGGCGCCGTAATTACCACGGTCATTACCATCAGCAGCATCAGCAGCAGCCGCACGGCGCGGTGATTGTGTACCACCATGTACTGGAAGAGCGAGAGACTCGCGGGCCGGGCCGCGGGCGGGGACAGCCCGAGACAGGTGAGGGAGACACGGGGGAGACGCGGCGGGAAGAGACACCGGGGGTCGGTGGCTGCGGGAGACGAGAGCGGTCAGGGAGGTGGGCTGCGGTTGGTGTCACGGGGCGAGGGTTCGAGTTACAGGGTTGGGGGGTTCGCGAGACGTGAGGATCCGTGCGGAGCGCCACATCTCAAAGCCAAGTCCAGCTCGTACACACTCACCAGAAATCCGACACGATACCTTAACCCCGGGTCCTCATCCCAGATCCTACACTAACCCTTGACCACGACCTTTACACAAAGCGCAAAACGGACTTACCGCCACCCTAACCTTAACCTCAATCCCGTGCGCTGGAATCGGTCGATGATAATAACGGGTTAGCGTGCTGGAGTTGGTGTAGTTTAGATTGATGCTGGAGTGCGTGTGGTTTAGATTGATGCTGGAGTTATGTTTTTATCAAATATCAATCGTAAAATCTGTTGTTGCTTAGAGTTATGCGTTGTGTTTAGCCAATACACACACACACGTACAAGTGTGTGTGTGTGTCCACGCACACACACACGTTCCCGATCGAGTCTATACTGTGTAATTCGACTTGTGTAATGCGTGTGTTAGTACACACAAGTGTACACGTGTGTTAGGGCTTACGTGTGTGTTAGTCTTCATGTGTTTTAGTGTACACGTGTGTGTGTTAGTCTTCATGTGTTTTAGTGTACACGTGTGTGTTAGGGTTCACGTGTGTTAGGGTTCACGTGTGTTAGTGTACACGTGTGTTTGTGTGTACACGTGTGTTTGTGTGTACACGTGTGTTAGTGTACACGTGTGTTAGTGTGTACACGTGTGTTAGTCTTCATGTGTTAGGGTACACGTGTGTTTGTGTGTACACGTGTGTTTGGGTTCACGTGTGTTAGTGTACACGTGTGTTAGTGTACACGTGTGTTTGTGTGTACACGTGTGTTAGTGTACACGTGTGTTAGTGTACACGTGTGTTAGTGTACACGTGTGTTAGTGTGTACACGTGTGTTAGTCTTCATGTGTTAGTGTGTACACGTGTGTTAGTGTGTACACGTGTGTTTGTGTGTACACGTGTGTTTGTGTGTACACGTGTGTTAGTGTGTACACGTGTGTTTGGGTTCACGTGTGCGTGAGGTTCACGCATTCGCGCTCATGCTCAACAGTCGCGGGAACGCGAACGCAAATCAACAGATAAATGACAGCACCACAGCAACAGCACGACTACACAAATACCATCAACAAAGCACAACACCGCGACAACTACATAACCACCACAACAACAATTTCATATTATACAACCCGACATCATAGCGACACAGCCTCAATAGCAGCAACACAGCAGCACAACACATCACTGGATACAGGAACTCGCCGACACAAGGACGGAAATCATTACAACTGTGAACAAACATGAACACAACACAGATGGTGACGGGGCCACATCGGCAGGGCGCGCACACAAAGCAAGACGACGAGACAGACCTTCATTAAACAAGAGGCCCCCCCGTGTAGCGTCAACAGACTGTTGGGCCAAGGGATGGTATAGTAGCGAGCGCCAAATAATGCCAATTCGGCGCACAAGGTGGCCAGCACCACGCCTGGCCGCCTTTGTATCCCCAGTGCTCGTGTCCACACACCGCATGGGGCACTCGTTTGAGGTGGAGTCGACCTTGGGGGTGCTCAGCAGCGGGTCAGGAATTCGTCACCGATGTTGGCTGTGAGCGGGAATCGAAGTCCGGTCGCCGGGTTCGTAGCTCTATTCGGTACCCGCTGCACCACCGCTGCCCATTCAAATCAACGAAACACCACCACCAGACGACTTGTACACAAACACGGAGAACAACACCACCACCAGACGACTTGTACACAAACACGGAGAACAACAACAACACCACCACCACCAGACGACTTGTACACAAACACGGAGAACAACAACACCACCACCAGACGACTTGTACACAAACACTGACAACAACACCACCACCAGACGACTTGTACACAAACACGGAGAACAACAACAACACCACCACCACCAGACGACTTGTACACAAACACGGAGAACAACAACAACACCACCACCAGACGACTTGTACACAAACACAGAGAACAACAACACCACCACCACCAGACGACTTGTACACAAACACAGACAACAACACCACCACCAGACGACTTGTACACAAACACGGAGAACAACAACACCACCACCACCAGACGACTTGTACACAAACACGGAGAACAACAACACCACCACCAGACGACTTGTACACAAACACGGACAACAACAACACCACCACCAGACGACTTGTACACAAACACTGACAACAACACCACCACCACCAGACGACTTGTACACAAACACGGAGAACAACACCACCACCACCAGACGACTTGTACACAAACACTGACAACAACAACACCACCACCAGACGACTTGTACACAAACACGGAGAACAACAACACCACCACCAGACGACTTGTACACAAACACGGAGAACAACAACACTACCAAGGGCACAATGCACCAGACGCAGGGACACGACTGCGTGTTCGCAGTCGTGTTTCACAGCTCCCCGATGCGTTTTCGAGTTGCTGATTGCATGCACACGCATGCTATTGTGTGTGTGTGTGTGTTCACGTGTGTTAGTGAACGCGTGTGCGTAAAAACCCGCTCACAGCACTTGCCCCAAATATATCTTAAGGCTGTAAGGGGGATCTTTGTTCTCACCCGACAACACTTTGAATAGCTAAACGAAAGCAGTAGGCACAACGCAATACAACGTTAATACAACCTGGAGAAGTTAACGCAACACAATGAATCCACACATCGACCAGGCTGGTATCTGGAGCCGCACGGGTCCTTCCTCGGCCCCGGGTCTCGGGCTCCGCGAGGCCGCACGTGTATCCCACTCACCTCGTGCATAGCTACAGATGATCGCTACTGCGCGATTTCACTTCTGATGATGTTCTAGAAGGGCTAGGGAGCTCAAATGCGTCACATGCGTACTATGCATGCGTCTGCACGTGTATGTGTTCACGTTGAGATTGCAATGTACGTTCATCGCGTGTGAACGGGCTCTGTAAATGAACGCCGTCACCATCGCAGAGTCCGCGTCTCACAAACGCGACCGGATGAGTGAAACCCCCCGCGGTGTCCTCGAAGGGCGAGAGAGCGAGGGTGAGAGAGAGACTTTTGATTTTTATACAACTTTTTTGAGAGGGCGAGAGAGTGAGGGCGAGAGAGAGACTTTTGACTTTTATACAACTTTTTGAAAGAGAAAGGGCGAGAGAGAGGAGAAAGAGAGAGGGGGGCGAGAGAGGGGGGGGGGGCGAGGCGTCGTCCCTCGCGCCGCAAGGAGCCGAGTCGCGGCACCGCCGCGGAGCCCCAGAGCCGAGGGCGCGGGGCCCGAGCTGAGGCCCCGGGCTCAGGGCGGCAGCAGCAGCAGCAGCATCGGTGGCCGAGTCCTTCGCCTCCCGTGGAGTGTGACGCTGAAGCCGAGAGAAAGCGGGCAATGCCCAAGTCATCGCTACTTGCGCGTGTCGCCTGAACGGAGTTGAATCGACCCGGGCAGCAACCGTGGAGTGGAGCGCACCTCGGTGACGTCACTGCGCACCTGCATGAGCAATCAGAGTGCGGAAGATCCGTGCCGCGGCCACAATTAATTGTTATCAATGAATTGATTGGTAAATTAATTGGTTATATAATTTGAATGGGAAGGGGGGTGATGATCAACCAGAGTCTGAGTTAAATTCCGGGTGCGTGAGCAGCCAGGCGCTCCGCGTAGAACGACTCGGCGAGCGGGAGTCGGCGAGACACAAGGTACGGGGCAACATTCACTCAACTCATTCACTCAACTCATTCACTCAACTCATTCACTCAACTCATTCACTCAACTCATTCACTCACTCAACTCATTCCCTCAACTCATTCCCTCAACTCATTCCCTCACTCAACTCATTCACTCAACTCATTCACTCAACTCATTCCCTCACTCAACTCATTCACTCAACTCATTCCCTCACTCAACTCATTCACTCAACTCATTCCCTCAACTCATTCCCTCAACTCATTCACTCAACTCATTCCCTCAACTCATTCCCTCAACTCATTCACTCAACTCATTCCCTCAACTCATTCCCTCACTCAACTCATTCCCTCAACTCATTCACTCACTCAACTCATTCCCTCACTCAACTCATTCAACTCATTCCCTCGCTCAACTCATTCCCTCACTCAACTTATTCCCTCACTCAACTCATTCCCTCACTCAACTCATTCCCTCAACTCATTCCCTCAACTCATTCCCTCAACTCATTCCCTCAACTCATTCCCTCAACTCATTCCCTCAACTCATTCCCTCACTCAACTCATTCCCTCAACTCATTCCCTCAACTCATTCCCTCAACTCATTCCCTCAACTCATTCCCTCACTCAACTCATTCACTCAACTCATTCCCTCAACTCATTCCCTCAACTCATTCACTCACTCAACTCATTCCCTCAACTCATTCCCTCAACTCATTCCCTCACTCAACTCATTCCCTCAACTCATTCCCTCACTCAACTCATTCCCTCACTCAACTCATTCCCTCACTCAACTCATTCCCTCACTCAACTCATTCACTCAACTCATTCGCTCAACTCATTCACTCAATCAATGCAAAACTGGAGATGTCCTTGGCAGTGCTGCATAAGCACACGTAATACAAAGTAAACACAATAGGTGGACGACGTTTCGGGCTATCGCCTCCTCTAGCAGAGAGATCGGAGCCAAAAAAACCGAGAACCCCGATTTGTTTGCTAAGATAATGGGCCTCATCAATTCACTGAATCAACTCATTCACTCGAGCAGTTGTAGTTGTTTTTGCACAGCTTTACATTTGCTTCATTGCTGTACTTTTTTGTTATCATTTTAGTGACGTCGGTCACTTGCAAACGAGGCTCCTCCTGGCTCCGAGCTCTCGCCTGGCCGCACCGAATCTACTTGGCTCCTGATTCACTCGCCCACACGCTCGCCCCCAAAGGGGGGTTGTCTAACAGCTGCTGGCCATCAACTCGGTGGACCAGAATGCCAAGCGGCCAGTAACAAGCTGCACTATCAACGTTGCAAAAGACGAGTGTCACGTGCTTGGTGAATTTAGCGGCATGGTTATTGTTGTAAGAGCTTGTCGAGAGAGAGAGGCGGTGATGATAATGGGATGGGGAACTCCAGAACCGAGCAGTGCTCGCGAAGATTCGGAGAGAAGTGCTGTGGGCGCTGCCATGGACTGCCCTGTGGTGGTTGAACGCCGTGGATTTTATGGGACTAGGAAGTCAGTCTGGTAGACCCGAGTCCTCAACACGGGTGAAGGAATAACTGAGTGAGGTTCCCGCAACAGTAACCATGGAAGTCGCGATAGAAGAGTGGTAGGAAGGCGACTGACCGTCTGTGAGCGAGTGGAATAAACCTTCCATCTGTGGATCGTCCACTCCCTGGTAAATATTGAAGGTGTCCTGCTGTTTACTAATTGACGCACCATCACAGGTGCGCGGCTGTTGTGTTTCATTACACACCGCGCTGTTTAAGCGGGAAGCACGTGGTTGTGTCTGACATGTATAAGATGGACATCATTATTACATGTATAAGATGGACATCATTATTACATGTATAAGATGGACATCATTATTAACGTTCACGCGCCGCCGACTCCGCGGTAACAGAATTACGGCGCCGAGGCCCGCGGTTCCGTTACCCCCATGGAGCTCACTCCCCCCAAGTGGAACATTCTGTCTCGTTACGTGCTAACTTGTCACAATGGTGTGGTGCCCGCGTGTGCACGCGGCTGTGTTGAATGAACACAATAGTTATTGTTGAGTAGTGTTAGCATTACAAGTTATTGTGTACGCGCGCGCGTGTTCGTCTCTTCACGCGTGTGTACAGACACACATCTGATACAAGGACAGGGAATAGCTTGTTGGTTTGAGCAGTGTCACAAGAGTTAGACCCGCTAGAGTAATAATCCGAATGACGTCCTATAAGGGTTAGAGTAGAGAGCTCACATCTCGTAGAGGTAATAAGAGGACTCCGCTTATCGCCGCAACGTGAAGTTTAATTCGTTATTAGTTTCACACCAATCGTGGCGACGGCTTGGACGGATGCCTCTGCATCCAGCAGTGACTGGATCGCTGTGGCTGCTGCTGCTGCTGCTCTTGGAGCAGAGCAATGAGAGACACACGGAGTCCGAGTGAGTCGCAGAGCAGCAGGGGGAGGCTCCGGCTCCGCTCCACCTCGCGGCGGCCGCTGCTGCCCCCGAGCCCCGGGTATCGCTTCCCGTCCACACCCCCCGCTGCTGCTGCGGCTGCTGCTGCTGCAGCTGTTGCTGCTGCTACTGCACCAGCGGCAGGAGAGACTCCCCACGCTCACAAGGGCGGGCGAGCCTCTCGTAGCACAACCACTGCGGTCACTTTCCCCAGTCGTAGTTATTGTAGCGACCACGGATGAAGTGATGATGGGCTGACCCCCCCCCCCCCCACCCAGGAGTTGAACTCGGAAACTTCTTATTGCTGCGCAGCCCCGAGGTGCTCCACCACCGAGTCATGTCGACGATCTCCAGCATTCGTGGTCGGAGTAAATCGCCTCCCGTGGAGTGCTCCGGTCGTGGTTACTGGAACATTTCACGATCCCCTACAATCATAATAGATCATCCGAGAGGACCGGTGGCGCTTCGGTTAACGCCATGCGCTATGATCCCGGTAACCAGTGCGTGGAACGTGATATCTTAAGTGGTCCTAGGCTCACCCCACACACCCCCTTTCACCCACCCGCACTGACCAGCGTGGTGAAGTAAGCTCAAACCGTCTACGAGTATGGCGTGACAGAGTGCACGTACTGTGCATACGGATGCCGTCGGCTAGAGAACACGTGCTATGCCGTGCACACCCGCGGGTGCTTCTGCTATCATCACGGGAGAGGCCGCGTCGTGCGCGCGTGATTACTCTCGGCGCATCGCTTGCGGTGACTGCGACCTCTGTGTTATTCCGGCATTTCTCCAGCAGTGCGAACACTCGAAATGTGCGCGCGTGTTTTTTTGTGTAATGTCGCTGTGATGATCAGTGGCGCAGTGGTTAGCGCGCTGTGCGATGAACGAAAAACAGTGGCAAATATTTGAACCGGTTACGGGCATCCCCTGGGTTAACCGAGCGTTAAAACAAGTACCTAGCGCGATGTATAAACACAGGCACGAGGAAGACGACACACTCGTGTGCCATGCATTTGTATAGGTGCTCGCTAACAGCATTTGCCTCAAGAGTCTGTATGGGTGAGGGGGGGGGATCTTTGTCTTCGTGGTCGCTGGTAGAAACTCCAGTGTCTGGGTCTGTGACGTGGGGGACGATTGAGATCCACGTGGGACGAGGCTTAATTGGTCTGTAATTATCCAAATTGGTGTTGTGAAGAGAAGGCCGATTGCTTGAGGCATTGAACATCCGGCAACTAAACGCAACACTTTAACACGTAGGTTTGTTTTAACACGTAGGCTTTCGCGACCAGTATTATTCATAATAAAGGGCTTTGAGTCGGATCGCGTTATTATAAATGTGTCGCAACCCTCCACCACCCGACACGGCCAATCAGTAAAAATGTGTCACGGTAACAAAATGCCAATTAGTTACTTCACCGGTGTGTTGGAAGAGTGAATCCACATTCAGAATTTGAGTAGTACGACGACGTTTCGCTGGTACTTGCATCCAACTCGACACATTCGTCGATACCACCCTGTGTGGGCAACGTTTCGAGCAATGACCCTTTTCCATAGCACATCAATGTAGAGTTGTATTCATTGTGCTCCGCCGCTGCTGGCTGCGTCCCGGTTATCCCCGTGTCCCTCGTGCCAAGGGCAGTGTTCACCTCTTCACGTGTGACGTCATCAACTTCCTCCTCTGAAACGCATTCTTCATTTATCGCGAGGGCGTCGAAGATTCTGCCCGAGAGCTCTGCAGCGAATCCCTCCCCGGGGCTTCCGCTTCTTTCTCCGGGCGCGAGTGGCAGCTGCGCCTCGGCTCTCTGTGATGGGTCCACCTCGGCTCTTTGTGATGGGTCCACCTCGGCTCTCTGTGGTGGGTCCACCTCGGTGGAGTTGGCGATCATCGCCACCCGCTCGGTGCTCGCGTTGGTTGCCGTCGCGTCTCCAAACGCGCCTCGTGTTTGGACATTCCTCGTCCCGTCATCGAGCGGCGTTACAGGGTTCCGTGCGTTCGTCTTGTTGGTATTTCCACCTCTCTACGTATAGATCTATATTCCTAAACGTGCGGTTTCCATGCACGGATGCAGGCGACGTATTCTCTGCATCACCGCGTTGGAGGTAGGAGCTAGAATCTCTGGCTACGGGGGCACGGGAGTAGCGGACGCGAGGCTGCAGAGTGGGTGTCAAGGGGGCTGAGCGAAGCGGACGACACCACCAGCACCACCGACACCAGCACCACCAGCACCACCACCGCACACTGAACAGCGCTGAAAAGTGCGCAAAGAAGAGATACGCGTGCGTGGAATTGCACGGAAAACACCGGAACATGTGGGTGAGAGAACATCATGCCGGTTAGACATCTTCATTCAGATGAGAATGACACCGAGCGAGAGCGAGGATCACGTGGACTCGGGGGCACGTGCGGGCGACAGACGTCGTCGGGCCCAGCGTCGCGGCGAGAGGGGCCCGGGCCGAGTTGACAGCGCCCGGGGGGGGGGGGACCCTCACCGCAGAGGAGACGGAGCCACCCACCCGGCTCGTGTACAGGAGCCACACACTCACTGCGCTCACACTCTGTGTGGCATTGCAGGGGCCGTGATAGATTGCTAAGGCGTGGGGAGGCCTCGATTCAGCGGTGGATAAATCGTGATGGATAAAATGTTAGTGCTGCTGCATATAGACTGTGGAGCCTGTGGAGAACCCACGTCTGGTGCTGGGTGGACGCGAGGCGTGGAGATCTGTAAGTCGGTTTTGGTGACCATGACACCGCGACAGAACCCCGCCTCGTCAAGCGCAACTCACTCAGCCCGACAGAGTTCGTTGGTGAGCGCCGATGGCGCGGATAATGGATAACGTGGGTGGGTGAGTGAGGTGGGTGAGTGGGTGAGGTGGGTGAGTGAGTGAGTGACCGCACTAATTGGGATGTGGGCGATGCAGTCATTAACAGACACGGGGCAGTAACTCAGAGACGCTGTCCGCCTCGGCGACCCGTCATATATTTCGGTACCCGGTGCACCACATCCAGAATACCTCCTCTCGCTATGCCTCTGGATACGAGTTACGCGCCTTCGACTCTCGTGTTCCCAACGAACCGTATACTCCTGAGTGATCGATTCAATCCCTGGTTGTAGTGATTGAGAGACTTGGGGGGCTGTGCTTAATAATACTCGTGGGGGGCCCGCTCCCCCCTCCCCAGGTCGCCATGTCCGGCTCCCTCAGGCTCGGGGTCCCCGCAGAGGGGGGTCCGGGGACCAAGGGGGCACGGATTCGAACGGGACTGGGACAGGTGAGGCGACGGGGACGCGTCACGCCCGGCCGCCTTTGTCTCCCCAGTGCTGATGTTTACACACCGCTACACCAGGTACTCGTTGTGAGGCGGAGTCGACCTAGGGGAGGCCCATAATCTGTTGGGAATCGCTCGCCACTCACGGACGCGTCTGCCGCACGTAGACGAGGCGCGGCCCACGTGCGCACGAACACGATGTCTGCTCGTGTACCCGCCCAGCGCGGGGCGCCAAGCGCTGTGCCACCGCTACCCACCACACAGACATCCCTCGTCGAGTCTTCGACGCAGACTGTTGGGGCAATTGCTATTCGCGAGTAGCAGCACCTATGTAGGCCAAGCACGGCACACGAGTGGTCTAGGTGGCCAGCACCACGCCCGGCCGCCTTTGTCGCCCGAGTGGCGATGTCTACACAACTATTTCAGGTACTCATTTAAGTCTGAGTCTACCTACGGGAGGCCCACGACCGGTTCAGATAATCGGCACTGGTGTCGATTGCCGTGAGCCGAATTGGAACTCGGGTCGTCGGGTTTATAGCGCAGCGCGCTAACCGCTGCACTACCGCTCCCCACCTTGGCACCTTGCCTCACAGAATCACACAGTACACGCCCAGTGTGTGCATTAACACGTAACGCTGTACATTAAGATAACATTCAAAGCGCGCTCACAACGTCCGTGTAGGTTCTCGTGGTCGTGATGCTGTGAACCGATTCGAAGCGTCGGGATGTAGCCGCTCTGCATCGTGCGGCACGATGTCCGACGTTTCGCTCCACGTGCTGGGAGTGTCGTCTGTCGGAGCTCCCAGCACGTGGTGCGAAACGTCGCACATCGTGCCGAAGGACGCTTATCGGTCATACCTCGAACACGTGCCCGAGCTAATGGCCATGCAGCGCCAGGAGACGACGGAGTTCAGAGCCGCAGCAGATTGAGCAGACCAGGGCCTCAAAGACATCTCCATCGGCCAGGCAGCCACCCGGCGCCTCACCGTCGACGCAGCCGGGCTTGCAGGAAGGAGGCGAAGGCTGCGAATCCATTGTCGCCTTGATTTTCCACCACGCTCCGAGGTTCGAGCTTTGCGTCGAACCTCGGACCCACATCTCACAGAGAGAGGGTCCCTGCCAATAATATATGTGGCCGTTTTCCAGCATTCGTTCAAGCCGGCCAGAATCTGCTGATGAGATGCTGCGTGTTAAACCCGCGTGGCTCCGTGGAGAGACACTGAAGGGGGTGGGGGCAACGCGATGGTGGGGGCAATATGGGATTAGGCAACATTTGTAAACAATTTAGGACTTTGACTATAAAACGTGATTGGGTAATTGCCTCATTGGGCGTTAATAAGCAGCGCCCCTCCCCTCTCGCTGCAGGCGATTACCCTGCTCCCCCCCCCCCCCCGTTGCTCGGGGGCGTGACCCTCACGACTCCTGACCGTGACCTCTGACCGTGACCTTGACCGTGCAGGCTCCCCGCTCGGGCCACGTGCCACCACCCCACGAGGAGGCGGGGTCGCGCTCCCCCCCTCCCTCGTCCACCTCGTCCACCTCGTCCGCACGCTCCCCGGCGGGGCCCTCGCGGCAGGGCCCCCCCGCGGGACCGGCGAGAGGCCCCGGCGCGGAGGGAGAGGGAGGGGGACCCTCCTCGCCAGGGCCCTCCGGACCCCCCCAGGGTGGCCCCGGGAAGGTCCCCCCCGTGTGCGCGCGGTGCGGACACGAGATCCTCGACAGATTCCTACTCAAGGTGAGACACGAAACGGGATCACGGGAACCGACACGAACCAGAACCTCTAGAAATGCAAGAACCTTCAGAACTACCGCGAACCAGAGCCACGAACACCCCAATCTTCAGAACCAAGCCCCCCCCCCCCCGAATTCTGCCGGCCACGTGGGAGGCCTATCATCATCACATCCTCCCTTTCGGGTCGAAAAAATTGGTACCACTTTGTTGGCAAGTTAACAGCGGTTGTTGTCCTAGGATAGCCTCGCCCTCGTCATATGAACGTGTAATTTCCGCCACTCGCTCTTCAGGGTTGTAAACGGGAGACGCGCACCGAAGCCGCGACGGTGCGCGGGGAACGGGAGACGCGGCGCCGCTACGGGGAGGGCCGTGCGCGACTGCCGTGACCGTCCTGACACCGTGACCCCCACGGGCCCCCACGCGCCCCCGTGTGCCCCCCCCCCCCGATAGGTGAGTGAGCAGTGCTGGCACGTGCGGTGCCTCGCGTGCTCCGTGTGCCACAGCCCCCTGAGCCGCCACAGCAGCTGCTTCTACCGCGACAGAGACGTCTTCTGTAAACTTGACTACCTCAGGTGCTGCTCCTCGTCACAGCTTTCCAGAAGCTCGCTATAGATGACCAAACTCACCACAGCTTGGCACCACACTTCCAATACCCATTGCTACAGTCTACATTACAGACTGCCAGTACACTCACTCCGATCAAGCACCAGGCTACAGTATTATTTTTATTCACTTTATGTTTCTATCTACGCGAAAGAAACAAACACTATGACAGTTTGCCAAAACGCCTCGCCAAGCAACCACAGCAGCGCCCCTCGCCCCGACCCACCGCGTCCCGCCTGCCGCGGTATCATCCTCTCGCTGCGCCACGTGGCTCTCGGTGACCCCCCCCCCCCGTGTACACCACGTGCTCATTAGCTGGATCAGTAACGTCTCCTCCACATACCCGCCTCTCCACATATCCGAACTCGGCTCACCGGATTTATAGTGCAGTACGCTAAGCATTGTGCACGCACAATAGCGCCGTTGGCTACGTACGGTGTGGTAGAAGTTCAACATGCAGCATACATTCATCACGACCCTACCGGTGCAAAACAGTCGACGTTTCAGTGAACGGTCTTCTCGTTTATTTCTTCTTGGTAGAAGGGAAATAATAAAATAATAAAATATAACATAATAAAATACAATTCTCACGACGTTTCGGCCACAACGCAAGCAGCCGTCCTCAGGTGAAGAACAGGTTTTTCCGACAGACCTCAGGTGAAGAACAGGTCTTTCCGACAGCCCTGTTCTTCACCCAAGGACGGCTACTTGCGTTGTGGCCGAAACGTCGTGAGAATTGTATTTCATTATGTTTTATTATTATTTTATTTCCCTTCTACGTGCCTTTACCGAAAGAACCAAGAAGATGAATCCCTGCAGTCACGAAAGCTTTAAATCGAGGTCTCCTCGTTCTTCCATTGTGAATGATGAGCCCAGGCGCTTCGGGCGCAAGTGCTCGCGTTGCGGCCGCCACGTGCAGCCCAGTGACTGGGTGCGGCGCGCCCGCGGCCTCGTCTTCCACCTCGCGTGCTTCGCGTGCGCCGCCTGCAAGCGCCAGCTCGCCACGGGCGAGGAGTTCGGCCTGGCCGACGGCGGCCGCCTCCTGTGCAGGGCGCACTACCGCGCCTTCCTGCAACAGCAGCAGCAGGCGCATCATCAGCAGCAGCAGCAGCAGGGTGCAGCGCCTGGCCAAGGGCAAGGAACCGTGGCCACTTCGACCGCGGCGCCCGCCGGCCTCCTCCTCCAACACGGTGCGTGTGGAGTTGCGTGTCTGATGGGGGTGTGATGTGGGTGTGTGTGTGTGATATGGGTGTGTGTGTGTGTGTGATGGGTGTGTCTGATGGGGGTGTGATGTGGGTGTGTGTGTGTGATATGGGTGTGTGTGTGTGTGTGTGTGATGGGTGTGTGTGATGGGGGTGTGATGTGGGTGTGTGTGTGTGATATGGGTGTGTGTGTGTGTGATGGGTGTGTGTGATGGGGGTGTGATGTGGGTGTGTGTGTGTGATATGGGTGTGTGTGTGTGTGTGATGGGTGTGTGTGATGGGGGTGTGATGTGGGTGTGTGTGTGTGGATATGGGTGTGTGTGTGTGTGTGATGGGTGTGTGTGATGGGGGTGTGATGTGGGTGTGTGTGTGTGTGATATGGGTGTGTGTGTGTGTGATGGTGTGTTGATGGGGTGTGATGTGGGTGTGTGGTGTGATATGGTGTGTGTGTGTGTGTGATGGGTGTTGATGGGTGTGATGGGGTGTGTGTGTGATGGTGTGTGTGTGTGTGTGATGGGTGTGTGTGATGGGGGTGTGATGTGGGTGTGTGTGTGTGGTATGGGTGTGTGTGTGTGTGATGGGTGTGTCTGATGGGGGTGTGATGTGGGTGTGTGTGTGTGTGATATGGGTGTGTGTGTGTGTGTGATGGGTGTGTCTGATGGGGGTGTGATGTGGGTGTGTGTGTGTGATATGGGTGTGTGTGTGTGTGTGTGATGGGTGTGTGTGATGGGGGTGTGATGTGGGTGTGTGTGTGTGATATGGGTGTGTGTGTGATGGGGGTGGTGTGTGATGGGGGGGGATGTGTGTGTGTGATGGGGGATGTGTGTGTGTGATGGGGGTGTGTGTGTGTGATGGGGGGTGTGTGTGTGTGATGGGGGGGGGTGTGTGTGTGATGGGGGGGGTGTGTGTGATGGGGGGGGTGTGTGTGTGATGGGGGGGGGTGTGTGTGTGTGATGGGGGGGGGGTGTGTGTGTGTGATGGGGGGGGGGTGTGTGTGTGTGATGGGGGGGGTGTGTGTGTGTGATGGGGGGGGGTGTGTGTGTGTGATGGGGGGGGGGTGTGTGTGTGATGGGGGGGGGGGTGGTGTGTGATAGGGGGGGGTGTGTGTGTGTGATGGGGGGGGGGTGTGTGTGTGATGGGGGGGGTGTGTGTGTGTGATGGGGGGGGGGAGTGTGTGTGTGATGGGGGGGGGAGTGTGTGTGTGATGGGGGGGGGAGTGTGTGTGTGATGGGGGGGGGGGGAGTGTGTGTGTGATGGGGGGGGGAGTGTGTGTGTGATGGGGGGGGGGGGAGTGTGTGTGTGATGGGGGGGGGAGTGTGTGTGTGATGGGGGGGGGAGTGTGTGTGTGATGGGGGGGGGTGTGTGTGTGTGATGGGGGGGGGGTGTGTGTGTGTGATGGGGGGGGGTGTGTGTGTGTGATGGGGGGGGGTGTGTGTGTGTGATGGGGGGGGGGTGTGTGTGTGATGGGGGGCGGGAGTGTGTGTGTGATGGGGGGGGGGTGTGTGTAATGGGGGGGGGGGTGTGTGTAATGGGGGGGGGTGTGTGTGATGGGGGGGGGTGTGTGATGGGGGGGGGTGGTGTGTGTGTGTGATGGGGGGGTGTGTGTGTGATGGGGGGTGTGTGTGTGTGATGGGGGGGGTGTGTGTGTGTGTGATGGGGGGGGTGTGTGTGTGTGTGATGGGGGGGGAGTGTGTGTGTGATGGGGGGGGGGGGAGTGTGTGTGTGATGGGGGGGGGGGGAGTGTGTGTGTGATGGGGGGGGGGTGTGTGTGTGTGATGGGGGGGGGGTGTGTGTGTGATGGGGGGGGGGGTGTGTGTGTGATGGGGGGGGTGTGTGTGTGTGTGTGATGGGGGGCGGGAGTGTGTGTGTGATGGGGGGGGGGTGTGTGTAATGGGGGGGGGTGTGTGTAATGGGGGGGGGGTGTGTGTGATGGGGGGGGGTGTGTGATGGGGGGGGGTGTGTGTGTGTGTGATGGGGGGGGTGTGTGTGTGTGATGGGGGGGTGTGTGTGTGTGATGGGGGGGTGTGTGTGTGTGATGGGGGGGGGGTGTGTGTAATGGGGGGGGGGTGTGTGTGATGGGGGGGGGTGTGTGATGGGGGGGGGTGTGTGTGTGTGTGATGGGGGGGTGTGTGTGTGTGAGGGGGGGTGTGTGTGTGTGATGGGGGGGTGTGTGTGTGTGATGGGGGGGGTGTGTGTGTGATGGGGGGGGGGTGTGTGTAATGGGGGGGGGGTGTGTGTAATGGGGGGGGGGTGTGTGATGGGGGGGGGTGTGTGTGTGTGATGGGGGGGGTGTGTGTGTGTGATGGGGGGGTGTGTGTGTGTGATGGGGGGGTGTGTGTGTGTGATGGGGGGGTGTGTGTGTGATGGGGGGGGTGTGTGTGATGGGGGGGGGTGTGTGTGATGGGGGGGTGTGTGTGTGTGATGGGGGGGTGTGTGTGTGTGATGGGGGGGGTTGTGTGTGTGATGGGGGGGGGGTTGTGTGTGTGTGTGATGGGATGGGTTGTGTGTGTGAGAGCAGTAGCGCAGTGGTTAGCGCTACGCTGCGCTACGAACCACGAGATCGATTCCCACTCACGGCCACCAACGCCAGCGACGATTATCTGAACAGGTCCTGGGCCTCCCCTAGGTCGACTCAGCCGGGCGTGAGGCTGGCCACCATCTCGTGTGCGATGCCGGCCTTCATAGGTGCTCGCTAGCAGCACTTCCCCCAATCGGTCTGTTAAGGCGATACAGGGGATCTTTGTCTGTTGTCACGGCATCCGGGACGGAGAGCCGCCGTGAGATTTTCATTCCCGTGGTAATTCTGACCCCGTTCCCCCGGGGGTCAGAATGCCACGCGGCGTCGCTATTCGCAAACAATCCGCTGCATTCAATTGTGTATTGTTTTATTTATTATTCTCTGTTTATCTTTTTTGCTGGTAATGTTATGTCGTTTGTAAAATGTTACTTTTAATTGTTGACTACGATTACGACGATGATGAATCCTCAGCTGTAGAGGGCAGATTGTTATTCTGTGTGAAGCGCAGTTTACCTGGGCTAGCGTGGGGTGATCACGTGACGCGGTGTGTCTGTCGTGACGCGGGGATTCTGTGTCGCAGGCGCCGTGGGGGGGCCCGAGGGGGGGGCCCTCCCCACAGGGGGCGAGGGGGAGGGGGCGCAGGGG